CTATATATATATATATAAGCTGTTTTGTTATTATAATCTATATAACATTATATATCGAATGCTATATAACAATTATTTTCTATAGATACCTAAAGATGTTTGGATTTCGACGAAGAATAAACCATTACGAGAACTGAAACTGTTATGTATGAATCCCGCTATAGTTTTTGCACCTTTAGCCCGCACCGCCCGCTCTGTGATAGTTGCTTCGGGTACTCTTACGCCGATTACGTCATTCCAAAGCGAACTTGGCACGAAATTCCCACATATAGTCAATCCTGATCACATCATATCGAAGGAGCAAGTGTACGTGAGATGTATACCACGTGGGCCGAATGGAAAAACCTTGATAGCTACCTACGAAAATGTAAACTCTTGGAATTTTCAGGTAAAATAAAAATCGTTTCTCTTTTCGCTTGAGCATATTATGTTGAAATTCGATTGTAATGTAACAGGACGAACTCGGTAGTCTGGTTCTTCAAGTGTGTGATACAGTGCCATATGGTGTGCTATGCTTTTTCCCATCTTACCTCGCAATGAACAAGCTACTCGATAGATGGAAGAATAACGACACATTGAGCAAACTAGAGAAATTGAAAGAAATTTTTGTGGAACCGAGAAACCGAGAAAGCAAGGATTTTCCCGCGATGATGAAAGCATATTGCGATGTAATCAAGGAATCGTCGTCAAAATCCTTTCGTGTGGCATCTGGAGCTATCTTTTTCGCAGTTTTCAGGGGAAAAGTGGCGGAAGGAATCGATTTTAGCGATAACGAGGCTCGATGCGTACTAGCGGTAAATAACATTCCTTATTTTATACTGATTTTATTTACATGTCTACACATATATTTACATGCATGCAGCACAAGCGTATAATATACTCTTTATTAGATCGGCATACCGTATAGAAACAAAAACGATGTATCTATGAAGATGGACTATAATAACTCGAATAAGTCCAAAGGTTTTTTGCCTGGTCGAGAATGGTATACTGTAGACGCGCTTAGAGCATTAAACCAGGCACTAGGCCGTTGTATTAGACATAAAAATGATTGGGGTGCTGTGTTACTGGTGGATGAAAGGTATGTATAAGACTAAGTATGTATAAAATTGTGTGGAAATAGAGAAGTTCTTATAAAGATAATTGTGTAGATTCCGGAACCAAAATTTTATTAACTATTTACCAAAATGGATTAAAACAAAAGTAAGTTACTCTACTACAAGAATGTTAATAAATCATCTGTTATCTATATATATTGCATAAATGTATGTTTATATCACAGTGGATATATGATGATGGGAATTACGATCTTCAAACAGAACTTGAAAATTTTGTAGAAATACAAATTGCACGTGAAAGGGGAAAAAAATGCGTCGCAGCTGTATAGAAGATTGACTTTTTTTTTTTAATATATAAAGAAATCCATGTGCTAGAGATTAAAAATACTATTATTAAGAATTATTTTTAACAAATAACAGTACTTTGTATACTCAATGTCCTATTTATATATATATATATTTTTTTTAATGTTACATGTTACTTGTGTCTCTTTTTTCAATCATTCTTAACTGTTTCTTTTTCATTCTCTTTATTTTTGAAAGATTTTTAATCTGAAAATGACAATAAAATGGGAATTATGATATATACATAAAAATGTATGCTTTTGTAAATAATAGTATTTTTACTTACAGGTTGTACTACTTCGCTCTTCTTTCGATTCTCTTCCGCTCTTTTCAAGTTTTCTCTTCTTCGTTGCTTTTTAGACTCCTTTTCTGCCTGTTTTTGTGCCTTGATCTCTCTTGACATTTCCTTAACACGTTTCAAATCTTCTCTTAACTTTTGTTTTTTAGCTAGTGATAATCGAATACCACGTGTTTTAATTATTGAAGAAAACCTGCAAACAAGTACATTATATTACTGTCACTTGTATATTTTTCATGTTTTGTTAAGTAATCTAGTTAATAATAATGCAATTTAGTAGAAATTTAGCAAATTGTATGTGGACGACGCTACAAATTATACTATTTGACAAGAATTTAAGTACGTTAAATTTTTGATTATATATATATATTTTATTTATATAAAATTTTTCAACCAAATTATATATAACTTACTTTGTTTTCTGTTCCTTCCATATCCTACCAGATTTTGGTTTACCCCTCGGAATACATAATTTCTCACGTTTCTCGATACTGGATGAAGATTCTGATACATCTTTAGTATGCACAGGCGCTTCATTTCCGTTTAATATATCTTCTATATGCGTTATTTTTTCTCCACTCTCCATCATTCGAAAATAGCAAATTGTATGTGGACGACGCTACAAATTATACTATTTGACAAGAATTTAAGTACGTTAAATGTTTGATTATATATATATATATTTTATTTATATAAAATTTTTCAACCAAATTATATATAACTTACTTTGTTTTCTGTTCCTTCCATATCCTACCAGATTTTGGTTTACCCCTCGGAATACATAATTTCTCACGTTTCTCGATACTGGATGAAGATTCTGATACATCTTTAGTATGCACAGGCGCTTCATTTCCGTTTAATATATCTTCTATATGCGTTATTTTTTCTCCACTCTCCATCATTCGAAAATGCTAATAAAACGTGCAGCCAAAATATGTCTTCTTTGTATAAATAACTTTCATAGGTTATTTCGTCACATGGCTTGCGGCTTGTGGCATCAGTGTTGTGAGACGGGCCGGGTTTTCTCGCGCATGCGCGGCGATAATTATTGAAGAAAACCTGCAAACAAGTACATTATATTACTGTCACTTGTATATTTTTCATGTTTTGTTAAGTAATCTAGTTAATAATAATGCAATTTAGTAGAAATTTAGCAAATTGTATGTGGACGACGCTACAAATTATACTATTTGACAAGAATTTAAGTACGTTAAATTTTTGATTATATATATATATTTTATTTATATAAAATTAAACCCGGCCCATCTCACAACACTGTGTGGCATATCTGAGCCAGAAAAGCGGAGAATAATCGAAGTAGAATCGAGATTGCCGTTGGTAGACTGCATTACCGAAGTAAAGTAAGATTTATTGGTGAGATAAGGAACGGAATATTTGGTTAATTATTGATTGAAAAAGAACTTTTTTTGTTTTTTATTCTATAATTTGTAGTTTTTAACTTGTATCTTGACATATAAATTACGAGTATAGCTTTATATATACGTATCGACGGATGTAAATTCTAGCTTTTATTATCAGATGGTATACTGACGTATAAGTTTCATTCACAATTGTGTATTGTATACGTATACTATAGAGGGCTGTGCGTACTCATGTCGTACTCGTACCTCGTACCTCGTACATTCATGATTCACGCCGATTTCAAGCATGCTACATTGATTATGAATGCATGTATAGCGTATTCTGCAGATAAACACATATCTTTCTTAAAAGTTAAAATTATCGGAATCTAACAGTTGTAAAATTAAATACATGCGTGTTGAGCTCTAATAATGGAATCTCTACAAGAAATTTCTCAATATTTATGTCTTGATGCACGATTGGATTTGAAAGCTATTGCATTGAAATACATACTCGGTATGTATTCGTATATTTTAATTGCATATATAAATATTTTATGTTTAAAACACATGTATTTTATATAATATTTTTTGGTTTACTTATATAAAAGGAATAATCACTCATCACTTAAATATAATATATAGGTGTCACAGCAACTGCCGATGGTCGAGAACTCCTGTTGAAGCTACCAGAAATATTGAAACAGCTTGCTATTCTTCTGCAAGATTCTTCCACTCCTATCAGAAAGGATGCTGCATTGACATTGGTAAATATTACCGGAGATGAATCAGGAACCAATGCGATGCTGATTATTTCAGAGTCAAATTCAATAAAGGAACAAAAATATAGCCTTAATTTAATAGAAATTTGTATAAGGTAAATGTAATTATATAGTTGCTGTTTATTATCTCTGTGTATATATATATATATAATAATAAGCTATCAGGTCCAGCGTAGCAAAAAATATTCAACTTGATGTTTTTATCGCATATAAATAATCATAGATCTTTGAAATTGGAATAAAAGCACATAAATAGTTTCTATTTCCTGTAACTTATATACTAAGAATGAAACAGGTACGAGTAAGTAGTTGCATATCTTATAATATTTGAAAATTGAAACAAGACTAATAGAATCACGATACTTTCATGACTGATTCTTTTTCGATGATAATACGAATGGCAAGCTGTACGAGACGCGTGTATATTATAATATCAAATATTTTAAATATTCGAGATTCTTTTTCGTGGAAATAATTTGTGAAAGCTTTCGTCAAGGTAAGTAGCCCAATCCAGCTTCGAGACTGATCGAACTTCTTATACTCGACGCGTTACTAGTCCTTCTCGAGTTTCGATTATTTTCTCCTGCACCAAAGACCGCGGCGATTTCTGCGCTTTTCTTGATGGAGAGTGCTTCGTGATGCGCTCCGGGTCTCCCGTTACCGCGAGAAGAATACTTTTTATCTCGTTCCGTGCCGCCGACGTAAACCAAACGGCCCTGGGTATCCCTAGCGCTAACGACGAGAACTTTCTCGCTGCCGGACGACTGCTGAGATTTTCTCCCTGGGCTGAAGAGATCGTAATCTAAGGCCAAATTATCCGAACTACCGCAAATCGGCGATGATCGGGTCTGAAGTGAGATTCGTGCAAATAGATTTTAATACGACTGCAAAATTGTGAGATAAGATCAACAATTCATGTAAGATCCTTTAGCTACCTTGAGAAAATCGGTGTTGCGCGATGAGCTATGACTGCTGGTCATTCTCGAGCTTCTGATCCTCTCGGGACTATCTCCTCTGCTGAGAGTGCTCTCCGACGGCACGATACCTTTCTGTCTAAGTTGCTCCAGTATGGTCGACTGTATCGGCTTCCTCGCACAGTAACACTTATTGCTCTCGGAACAACTGTCAGTATCGCAAGCGCAAACCACCGTGTTACCAGGCACCGACGTAGCTGGTATACGTCTAGACAACGAGCAATAACACTTGTCCGCCGATACGCACGTGCATGACTCGGAGTCGTAGCTACACTCGCTGCAGCTTACATAGCCGCTGCTGCTTCTGTTTGCGGTGGCACCCATGTTACGATTCAATCGTCTACCTATGTAATTTTATAATTATTACGTCAACCATACATATTAATATGAGCTATGTGTATTGGTTTAAACAATTTGTTATATTTTTATTATGCTTTTATATTTTTTATTTTGTTTTGTATTTTTAAGACATCGGAAAAGAAAATCATGCTGAAATTATTTGTAGACTCGGATAAGATCGACTTTAATTTTTAATTACAATATTTCTACATACATGTATCGCTGTCCTCCGAAGTAGTGTGACACGCGCCGTTCTTGGTTGCCTTCCACGAGGATTTTCTCCTACCGAGTCTACTCGCTAGTACTCGATTTCGATGATTGTTTCTGACGTCGCACGACGAACTACTGCCGAAGCTGTCGTTCAATCTCCTCGCCGGAAATATCACAGAAGTGAATTCCGTGGGACCGCCTTTCAATCTCGAGACCGATCTCTTGATGGCTTTGCCCAATAAACAAGATCGACGATTCGATCTTCGTCTCTGCGGTCTCCGACGTCTTCTCATGATGCTGGCGGATCTCTGGTATAGTTCGTCTTGCGTTAAGGTTGCCGCCAATTTCAGTAAAAATTCCTTGTAGAGCGGTTTCAAATCGTTGAATGACATACCTTCCGGATCTGAAAGAAAATCACAAAGATACATAATTTTGTTCTTAAAAATTGCATTATCATTTCATACAGATTATTATCTTCGATTACCTATAATAGCCGCCAAGATATCATCCACACTGGTCAAACCCTCCTGATTTCTAAACTCGTCAAACAGTTCTGTGAATCCTAAGGGAGTGCCACCTTTGATGTTGTTAGATCTTCGAGTACTTCCGGAAGTCAAGAAACTCCCTCTTCTGGGTAACTCGACTCTCGTCATTAGATCGCCTCGGTCCACGTCTATGTCGCTCTGCGATCTCTTTAACGCGTTCTCTTGCAAGAGTTTGTTCTCTGAATGACTGACGGGCGGTTCGCTGCCCGCTCTGCTTCTTCTTCTCCGAGGGCGACTATACTCTGGTATGCTCAGCGAATAAACGGGATCCGATTGCTCCTTCCTCAACGGTTTGTCCATAGTGACGACTCTGTTGAGCCTTTTGCCGGAATACATCCTCTCTGGATCTCGCGAGCGTCTTTGCTGTTTTGTCGTGCTATCCGAACGTTCCTGACGCGACTGACAGCGCTCGCTATTTTTCAAGTTCTTCGCAAAGAAAATGTCTTCCTGAGAACTTTTCATCTTATTATTCCTGTTATTATTTTTGCTGACGTAAATCTCCTCCTTTTCGAGACTATAGATCTTATCATCGTCTTCGATGCGCGGACTGTAAGTACTTTCTTTCTTTCCACCGGTTTGCTTGTAACTAGAATTTGTCTCATTTCTTCCGGTCTTATCGACCTTATCATACATCAAAATACTATCGGCTCTGGAAGAGTACGATTGCCGTTCGCAATTATCAGCGTTCCCTCGATTCAAATTGTACGATCCATAATTTGTTTCATAAATGTCTTTCAAATCCGCCTGCTCCTTCTTCGGATTGTTCTGTTTGTACAGTTTCTCGTACTTGTTGGATTGCTTTTCGTAGATTCTATTCGTGTCATTAATGTTGTAAATTTCATCAGGCTTTTCAGATTCTATTTCGATTCTCAAGGAATTTTGATCCTTAGTGGAAAACGTCTTGTTCTTCGAATTTTGTAATTCCTCGTTTCTGGACAATATAATGTCTCGATTGCTCTGTCCGAATTTGCTTTTTTCGTTCTTAACATCTCGTCTTTTTCCACGCGCCTCAAGAATGTCTTCCGCCTTTACGTCGGAATTTTTTTTTTTTCTACGCGGCATCTTCTGTAAACTAGATTTTGTGCCTTCGTCCTCAGTAACGGAGCTACTCATAGAACTCTTTTTGGTTCTGGGTGGTCTCACAGGATGAGGCGCAGTCGGTCTTGGTGGCGGAGGCAGCAAACAATTAATCCTGCTGCTGAGGCTGGGTTCTCGGACGCTGGAAGCAACGGAGGCCAGACTGATGCAACCGACACCGTTCGTGTGACGTGGTCGTCGGCGATTCGCGTCCAGATCGGCGAGAAGAGCGCGATACAACGTGGCCGCAGCCGCCACAGCATCTTCCTCGGTTTCGCAGGCGAATCCGTGACATTCCAGGAGTCTGGCAGCCCCAGGTCGTCGCATCACCACGGCGAAGATCGGAGGATATAATTCTGTTTCGTTTCTTAAACCGCGCATTGTTCTAAAATTGAAATTAAAATTAAGATCATAGAATTATGTTTTCAATTTTATACTCGGATATATGCGCGTTTTCTAAATTAATATAATAATAATAAATTTTACTTTGTCCCAAGAAAATTAATCATATCAAAATATATAGCGTTGCTGTGAGACCTGTAGAGATCAGCGTGTTTATTTTCCAATGTTTGGGTGTGTCTTTGATCCTGATCGCCAACTAAAGGTAAGAAGGCGTGATGCACGTCGCCCGATGGTATTCTCTTGCATCTCAGCTTCAGAGCACTCCATACCGCTATCCTGCGAAAAGGATTATTCTTCTCACAGACGTCGCTCGTGCGGAATGTTAGTCCACGTCTGGAGATTTCCAACTCGGCCCTGACACACCCTTCTATACGTTCCAATAGCTGACGAAGAGGTTCCTGAAGACCCCGTACACTCGCCACGCGTCCACCGACCGGAGCAGCTCCCATATATTTTACCTACATAAGAAAGGTACACAATATTTTAATTATATAAATATAGGAAATAGATGTTAGTAAAGAAGAAGAAGTAGGGAGAGAAAGCAAATAACTTCAAGTATTAAATGTACATTTAGATTCGTTTTGTCGGATTAGAAAACGTATCATTTCAGTAGCATGAAGCGATCAATGAGAATGACAATGTACATACAATGAAGCTTCATGCAGCACATAAGATTTTATGTATTGCAAACAACATTTTGAAACACTGACGTATGCATATAAAAATAGCGCTTGATAAAAAGTGCGTTTCTCGTGCGTGTGCCGCGCTGAAACCGGTGCAAACCTGTTTTGCACGATGGGCAATATTAAAGATAAACAGGCGGGATCATTATATAGGAATTTTATTGCGCATGTCGAATGCGATGAAGTTCTAAAACTAGTCTCCCGAAACGAGGAATTTTGCTGTGTGGCCGTTTTATTCGCTACCGCTTTAATACGGAATGTATCGAATAAAATTCGAATTTCGCCTGGGATTCTGTTCCTTCGAGATGAGAAAAAAATAACGGTTCTTTATCATAATTATCTGTGAAATTTAATTTTCCGAATTATGTATGCAAAGAAGTATGCGAGTTCGCAACCATTAAAAAGACAGGATAAAATCAATGTTCGATGTAAGAGATAATAAACAACTGCCAGATCATCATGATCGACAATTGCCACGCCTAAGAATAGAGGAATTCTTTCGCCAAATGATGTAACCCTATCAATCGATCAGCAGCTTCTTTCGTGAGTTTCAATCAAAGTGCGGGAAGCGAGGCGAAACATTGCGGCGCGGGGCTCAAAACCCATAAAACAGGGTACCATATCGGCAAAAGAATCCGTATACCGGCATAACAACTGAAGGAGAATTTTTCAGCGCTCCGAATAGTTTATGGAAGTCTGTCACGCTTCGCGGATCGTGAGCGGAATGAAAGTGACGATTAAAAATTCCAGATCGACGCCCTGAGGAAAGTCGAAGGCCTTATCGCGATACTTTTTTTCCAATCGGGACGCGTCTACGACCAATGGCGGTTATGATTGAGCAATGTGTGCGCGGTATGCATACCAAATATAGAACAGATCATCGATAATTTATACATATTGAAATGCAGATAACATTTTACTTGGGAAACGCATTAATTAAATATGAGTATTTTAATGATTGATACAGTCATCTGTTGTAACATTCTGCTATGTAATTTACTATACGAATCCATTGCAAAATTCGTATTACGATTTCAGAATTATAAGACTCCCTTCTTTGTGTATTGCTATTCATTCAAAACATTTTCTTCGTCTACTAGGAATGCCTTAATATCTTGTATTGCAATGCATTACAATCTCATTTGTATAAAACGGTATTATATTATAGCTTAATATATGAACTAATTAACATGACAGAAAGTTTAACGTTTGTTGTTCAAGACCGATTAAACACCAAAGGATTTGATTTAATCTCAACTTAAATATTACAAAAATAATTTGCTTTCTCTCTTCTCTATACTCCGTTCTTTGAAAGATCACCGCGCGATTCTTTCCTTTCTAACAAGCAATCAGCTCGCGAGTAATTATACGTCGATCTCAATTTTATTTCTGACACGGAATCACCATGAGCATCATCAGGGTGATTTACGCGAGATTTTACGAAGCGGAAAATACTTTTTTTCACAAAGCTTTTCACCGATCTCAGATCCCATTTTCGATGAAAAATGAGTCGATTAAAAATTACTTAGTTTTCTGAGACGAAATAAGAAATATAAATAAATTAATTGAAGAACGAATTTAATTATTCGGTTTAATTATGATTACGATAAAAGATATATGTATATATATATATATATATATATGTTAGATAATATTTCTGATTGAAACGATTCCCATTTCTACAGCCATTTCCCATCCACCAAGTTTGACATTGTTGTTGGATGTAAAGTAAACGCAACGCGAACTGACCGCTGTGTGGATATATCCGCGCATATGGCAATATTTTAATATATCCGCCAATTTCATGCCGATTTGCATGATTCCTTGTGTATTCATTCGTTCGCCTCGCTCATGTATATAACTATGTAATGTGTAACCCTATCAATCGATCAGCAGCTTCTTTCGTGAGTTTCAATCAAAGTGCGGGAAGCGAGTCGAAACATTGCGGCGCGGGGCTCAAAACCCATAAAACAGGGTACCGTATCGGCAAAAGAATCCGTATACCGGCGTAACAACTGAAGGAGAATTTTTCAGCGCTCCGAATAGTTTATGGAAGTCTGTCACGCTTCGCGGATCGTGAGCGGAATGAAAGTGACGATTAAAAATTCCAGATCGACGCCCTGGGATACGAAATATTTTTTTTGCACGTAACGATTGCCACGTTTTATGCTCCTTGCATTAATTTCTCGTTAAGTCTTGACGTTCTCTTCCACGGCATTTTGCGGTCGCTTTAATTTTGACACTAAAATAGACGATTAAGTACTCTTAAGGGTCACGTTCGTTGGCGAAGTAGGTAAGTCTTTCGTTGCGGTACCCGGTGTCGGCCATGCTGATTTCCAAGATTTTTTAAACGAGAGAAAGAAAAAGAGAAAGAGAAAGAGAAAGATACGTCGAGATGCACAATAGAATTAACATAAGTGAAAATGCAAGCGCGCGTATTCGTCCGTTATATGGCAATTACGGTTTCTGGCCTCCGAACAGAAGTCTCTTCCGAGACGGCGGAGATTTGAACAAAAGTAGCGTGCGGTGCGTCTTTCGCGAGAATGTGCTCTACGTGCGTAATTATTCGTGTCATTACCGGCAGGATAGCGGCGGCGCATTCACCGGGCGTTCCACTTTCAGCCTCCACCGAGGCGAACATTGCCTCGATGCGCGCCTGGACAGCGCTGTTTACCCTTTTCTGCTCTTCAGCGCTCGAGTCGTCGGGGTTGGTCGGGATGACGACCGACAATCCGGCGTACCAGCCGCTCAATGTAGAACTGCAGATCGATCTGAAGTGATCGAGGAATCGTTAATGGAAAAGAGAGTGCAAGATCGATATTGATCTGGATGTTTATGTATCTAAAGGATTGAATTAACGACTAGAATAGTTTGATAAATTCACCTGGAATCTTCGAACAGTGCGTCGATCTGCGCCTTGCTTCTGAGGGAGCATTCCGATGGCGGCCCACCCAATCGAAACCCATCCTCGTAACAGGATATTCCTAAGGTCGACATGATTTATCCGGATGTTGCACAACCCAATGTACTTGCAGATTCCTTTGTTTGTCGTATTGTCTGTTGATGTCATTCGTTCTGAAAAGGAAAATCATTCATCACAATGAAATATTTTCAAGTACGAAAGAATTATTACAGCTGATGATATAATTGGCGCTATTTCTTCCTCGACTGTAAAAAACTCGGACAGGATGATTATTTTGATATCCTCCTGCTCTCGCAGAAAATGACAATTTTGCAGGAGAGTCATTCAAGGTTTCCGGAATGACTCAAATACGATGGTGATGATATTAGAGGAAAAGTTCTTAAAATTGATCGGACAATATAGGATCACAGTCGGTTTTTAACTGATTTTCTGAGTAGTACTTGCTATTAACGTCGCGATGCGTCAAATCTATGCGAACGTTATGCGGTGCGTGAATAATTAAAATAGGGACCGGGTTAGTCTGTTACTTTTACATACGCTGGTATTTTTACATGGGAACGGTAAAAGTGACGGAGATCGGACAAAAGAAAAATGCAAAGAACAATGAGCTCGTCGATGCGTGGCAGATAAAACGATTGATTAAGACAGCGATAATTTAGACCTTGATGTCGCGATATTATGCGAACGCGAGGCTGGCGTATCGGTCGATGCACTAAGCGATGAAAGTTTTCTTTCTACTCGGAAAATCAGGATTTGACGTTTGCACATGTAAATGTAAATCAAGCTAATTAGATAATGTTAAGGTCATTACCCCGCGAGCTAGAAATCGCTAAAGCCGCAGCAGAAACTGTAATTCACGGGAATATATAGAAAAATTGCGTGCACGTCTATGTTGCTTCGGATTTCACCGGCATTCCGTGAAACTGCACGCATTTCTTCATTAAGGCCGTACGCGCGCTGCCTTTTTAACAACGTTCTTGGAGAAAACAGCTTCGTCATTCGCATACGATGTTAGTTTCGACGAATTCGCGTGATATATTCGCAGTTTTTATAACGACGTTCTTTCAATTAGGAAGAAGACATTATGCAATTTATATTTAAATTGTATTAAATAATTCAAATTTTACATAAGAAAGTCATATACATCAGAGGAAAAACTTTACACTAAAAGCGGTGTACTTTTGCAGTGAAAAGTTAAAACCAATTTCGCATACGCGTCTGATATAAACTAGCTGTCGTGCTTCAGATTATCTATGCGACTACTCACAGACAGTTAGACTATACAGTTATGGACCAGGTGTATCATGGGCAACAGATCGACGGATTCCGAAAGGTGTCAATGTCGGCTCAGATCCAACATTACGCATGCAATCTGAAATAACTGTCAATGCGTGCTTCCCCCTCTCTCCTCCACCCCTCCCCCCACGCGAAATTAAGCGCGTGTTGACCTCGCGTATGCTGTTCGCGATCGTTACATGGTGAAATTGATTGCCAAACAGCGGCTATAATTAGGATTCGTTACGATCGATCGAGGCAACGGCATCGAGGGGAATATGTCGTAAAAGAACGAAGGCAGCGTCGCGATAATCATCGGTAATTATGAGGGTCGACTCGGAGAGTACAGTGTATGCATTGGTTTAATTAAAACGGAAATTTTCTCTCCGCGCGTTCTCATCTCATCGTAAGTAGCTCTCTTGGCGCTTAATTTTTGTTTTATATAGTTTGTATGATTTGTAACACATTGTTTCTCATTCATTATGAGGCTGCACTCGAGGAGACTGCCTCCTTGCTCATCGCATGAAGCCGGCCCTGAATAATCACCGACGAGCTTCTTGACGCCAGTGACCCAATTTCGGACTGCACGCTACCGTAATCACCATAGCAGCACGAATCTAGACTCGATCGACGATTATTAGTGACTTGTGATTGTGCGGCTATAAAAATGACTTTTGAAAAATTAAGGTTTACTTAATCGTCGTGTAAGAATGCGAGATTTGTAAACGGAGATGTTGAGAGAATTCCAGTTGTGGACACAACGGGAAACAAAACAACCATAAGTGCGCTTGATCGCATCCATCGACGAGACAAGTGCGTTTATCCGTTCCTCTCGAGAGCAGCTCCTCGTTTTCATAACTGTCGAGCTGTCCACGATGTGTTTAAGGCAACGGTATTAAGGTCGGCGAACACAGATTACGGCATCACGTGTCGATGCATCGTAGAAGAGAGCTAGTCGATCGACTTTGAGCGTCGTTCAACTTACAATTACCGAGTTCACGGCTCGTTTCCCGCCTGCATCTGCTTTAATGGATATCGAACCGGCCGATAATCACATGCGCGAGATACATTTCTCGGAGCGCGTCATTTAAGTATCGATTAAGTCGATAGTTCCGATTTTCTTAGCGGCTTTAAAAATTGATATATTGATTTTAGAAACTTATTAATTATCGAGAGATTTCATTTTGTACATTCATTTAAGATATACACACATATAAGATCTGTTTATGTTAATAAGATGTAAGCAATCAAGTGCAAAATAAAATTTCCATAATTTTTGTGCAGAGCAATTTCTATAATTTTCTTCTGTCGCGCATAATATATATCTTCATTTGTTGTCAAATTAGAATGTGTATGGAATAGACGAGCCCGCAAAACTCTATTATCATATATCATAATTCGAAATAAGAGATATTTATCTTTCTCGTTACGATAAGCTTTATGTTTATTACGTCACAACACCGATAAGACTAAACTTGCGAAATATACCTGTTTGCTTCTGATCAATCGCTTTGTGTGCTCCAAAATTAAATATAACTATCCGATTTCGACACAATCACCACTCTGACACGAGACGATCTTAATCGTTCGATAAATTCGCGCTGTCATATCACAGTCAAGTACTCGGAGAAATCTATCACGATAATTGATCGAACCGGGATCATTTGCGAGAGCACGCTGCACCGCAACGAGCTTCACACGCGACGATCGTTTGCCAATTCATCCGTCCTCGTCTCTACGATCTTCGACGAGGATCTTCCTCTTCACGACCACACTCTGGGTCGTTCGGGAAACATCGGTTACTCTCTCGTTGGCCGTCCGGAAATGATGTTCTAATGATATCGCGCTGATAAAGTGAATACACCCACAATATCCGGCGCTTCTATCGGATAAGAGCTTTACTTCTTCGCTATCGTATCCGTCGTTTATTTAAAGAGATATCGTGGTGTGAATTTTTTGCCTGTTATTTAAGACACGTATCGGATTCATACAAGTCTCTGCATTTTGAAATCGAGCAATAAGTGAGGATGTTATATGAAATCTCATTGAAAAGATACTTTTCTCTTCGTTAATTGATATTTTCTGTGCAGTTTCGTGAAAAATTCTAACATTCAAATTGTTCTGATCGAGTTTTTATTTTAAAAAAGCAAAACTATGTAGTCATGAAAAATATCTTTAGGCATAAATTTTACTGAATTTTTGCCGTTTTTAATCTACATTTATGAAAAGAGATACAGACATATTACATTTCTAAATTTCCTCATACATACTTTTTTGTTTTACTCTAATTGTAAGTCGATTAAAAATTGACAAATTGATGTATCACATATTCCGACTGACCGATATTGCAACTGGTTCCGAGGTGGATTACCGAAGTCAAGAAGACCGGTAAGAGGATTGGTACTGAGAACGGAAGAGC